TAGGGACCACTGCTCTAAAATTCAGCTGCATTAAACCTATTTATTATGAACTGAAGTGCGTGTTCCCCTCAAACTCCGCACAGTTTATAGGTTGAAGTCCCAACCTCCGATATCTCAGAATGTGAGGCTATTTGGAGGCAGGGCCTTTGGAAAGGTAATAAAATTAAAATGAGGTCATTAAGGTGGGGTCCTAACCCAATCTAACTGGTGTCTTTCTAAGAAGAGGAAGAGACTAAGGATGCAAACGCCACACACAGTTCAAGGCCCCAGGAGAAACCAAATCCGCCAGCACCTTGATCTTAGACTTCCAGTCTCCAGAACAATGAGAAATAGATTTCTAATGGTCACCTAGCCTGTACTGTAACAGCCTTAGCCAACTAATACACTATGCCATCATATTTCCATCTATTCTTCAACGTGCAGTCCTTATGAATATCTTCAAAAACAGCTCACTAATTCTTGCCCCAGGCTTTTCATCCAAGCTAGAATTCTTGCCTGTAATATTATTCTCTCTTGCAGCACAGGGGTCTGGAGTCAAACAAACCTGGGTTCAAATCCTAGCTCCATTCAGTTAATACAGCTTTATTCAACTTCTCTAAAACCGTTCTCTCATCCAGAAATGGGCGTATGAACTATATTCAAGCAGCATGTGAGTTAAATGAGGTGGTGTTATGATATGCCTAGCACAAACCCTGCCACACAGTATACACTCAATGATGGCAGTTCTAAGAATTATCCATTTTTCAAAGCTCTGGTTAAGCACTGAGTGTTGAGCACTCTGGCCTCTTTGGACTGTCAGCCCAACTTGGAAAGAACACAGGAGAAGAAGAGAACCACAGAGCTGGGAATGGTAGTGAGTTGATGTAATCAGCTACAGGGAGCCATGGAGGGGGAGGTGAACAGCGTAAAAACAGATCAGAAGTGGCAGCTGTGTGCAGGTGATCAGGACAGACACGCTGCAATAGTCAAGATGACCGTCACAAAGGAGTAAACTGGAGCAGTGCTCAAGGGAATGGAAAGAAGGAAGTGTTTAGAAAAACATTTCAGATAGACAATGTAAGGACTGGCAACAGACTGAATGCAGGAAGAGAGGGGACTGTCAGAGGAACCCCAAGGCCTTGAGGTTGATGGAGTGGTAGCATCAAGACCAGGAATGAGGAAACCAAGTGAAAGAGAACCAGGAGGCACCGAGTCTGAGTTTAACCTTCACGTTCAGTTCCCTGTACTGCTCGTGCCATTGTCTCACCCCTTATCTGCATCTGATTGGGCAGCCTCTGTGCCCTACACTTCCAGGAAAACTTCAAGAAGGGAATCTCAAAATTAATTCACACCAAAGCATAAACAGTAACCTTTCTTAAAAGCTATTGGCACTTTAAGAGTGCCTCCGTGTCCCCAAAATGAACCACCATGAAATTTGGAAAACCGACAAACCTAAGTGAGGTGTGGGGTGGAGAACGTGAGTCCCTTCACATTATCATCGCCACACCTTCCACCCCCTGCCTGTGACAGTTTGGCTGCAATCTGTCACTGTGCCCTAGATTCTGACATCCGTGTTGTATTTAGAAATTCCTTTCTTATCTTATTGCTGGATACTGTTCAGCACCACAGGTAGACACGCAAAATTGTTTTCATTGACTGTTTAAAAGATGTGAAACAACAGCACAGAACAACGAGGCTGGGAACATTCATGACATATCAGCCTTTGCCATCTTTCAGAGTTCATCCATCATGGCATAGAGATGCCAAGGCTAAATTTGGCAACTTTGCCGATCACTTTCAGTTTCCTCCAACTCTGCTTCTTCCACCTCAAATTAAACCCACTTCCTTTAGCCTGCAGCAGAGATACAAAAGAGAAAGTTCTTACAGCCTTCATAACAGCTTTTCACAGCTATTACGATTAGAAAATAAATCATCCTTTCATTTTATTTTTTTTTCCCATTCTGGGTTATTTGTTCAGGCAAAAGTCCATGGAGGGACCATGCGCTACACTGCAGCAGTGAGGGAACAAGGATAGAGGGGTGGAGGAGGTGAAAATCAGAACTCACATGATCCCTACCCTCAAAGGGATCTAAGTTCCTCTTCAGTCCATAGTTCAGCTGTGTAGCTCTGGTCATTTTAAAATTCCAGCAGTGGCGGGGCGGGGGAGACTCTAGGAGGCCGCCCCAGGTTTCTTGTAAATGTGGAATTCCACTGCAAGGGGACCAGATTTCCAAAAATGATCTGACCCACATGAAATCTAAGGGCATTACCCCAGGAGCTCTCTTAGGAGATACTCCCAACCACATGCTTATTTATAAGTGTGTGCATTGTAGCATGGGGACACACAAGGGTGAGTAAATCAGGGAGGCTGTTTTGTTTTAATAGTGGTGCTGAATCATTCAGCAGATTATTTACACGTATTCATCACATTCTGCCAAACACTGCATAAAACAAGTTAGAAATTGTCATGGTGCAGTCCCTGTGCAAAATGGTATGGCAGTTCCTCAAAAAATTAAACATGGAATTACCATATGATTCAGCAATTCCACTTCTAGATAGATATCCAAAAGTATTGAAAGCAGGGTCTCAAACAAATACCTGTACACCCATGTTCACAGCAGCATTACTCATGGTAGCCAAAATATAGAAGCAACTCAAATGTGCACTGGTGGATAAATGAATAAACCAAATGTGGTACACACACATGCTCACACACAAATATTATTCAGACATAAAAAGGAAGGAAATTCTGGCCAGGTACAGTGGCTCCCACCTGTAATCTCAGCACTTTGTGAGGCCAAGGCAGGAGGATTGCTTGTGTCCAGGAGTTCAAAACCAGCCTGGGCAGCATAGCAAGACCTTGTCTCTACAACAAAATCAGAAAGTTAGTGAGGTGTGGTGGTATACACCTATAGTTCCAGCTACTCGGGAAACTGAGGCAGAAGGATTACCTGAATTCAGGAGGTCAAGACTACAGTGAGTCGTGATCATGCCACTGCACTCCATCATGGGAGGCTCAGTGAGGAGACCCTGACTCAAAAAGGAAAGAAATTCTGACTTATTCTATAATATGAATGAATCTTGAAAACATTATGCTACATGAAATAAGCCAATCACGAAAGGATAAATATTGTATGACTCCACTTATATGAGGTACCTAGAGTCATCAGATTCATAGAGACAAAATATTAGAATGGTCATTGCCAGGGGCTGGGAGAAGGAAAAAATTGAGAAATATTGTTTAAGAGATAATGGCCAGGCTTGGTGATTCAGCCTGTAATCCCAGCACTTTGGGAGGCCATGGTGAGTAGATTGCCTGAGCCTGTGGGTTCGAGACCAACCTGGGCAACTTGGTGAGACCTCATCTCTACAATAAATAAAAAATTAGCTGGGGCATGGCAGTGCACACCTGTAGTTTCGGCTACTTGGAAGGCTGAGGCAGAGGACTTGCTGGAGCCCAGTGGGTCCAGGCTGCAGTGGCCATGAGTGTGCCACTGAACTCCAGCCTAGGCAATGGAGTGAGACTCTGACTCAAAAAAAAAAAAAAAAAGAAAGAGAGAGAGAGAGATAACCCCCTTGCATATACCCAGGGACAACTGGATCAAAATTCTTCCTTAATTCAGCAGAGCATTTTACTTTTAACCTCCAAATAATTTATTACTCCACTGGCATAATACTATAGAACTTATAGGAAATGCAAACTAGAAAAGAATTGTGTGCGATTTTTTTTATTTAAAAATCACCAGAAATACAAAACGTGCACATCTCTATCCTGGGAAATAGCTCTGAAAGAAGTTAATTCAGGTAGTTGGTTAACTCACTCTGTACCAGCAGGAAGAGTAGAGAACAGACCAATGGGCCTGCCAGGTGCACGGGCTGCCTCTTCAGAGGCGCGGCATGGGCCCTTCACCACAGGTGTGACTAGGAAAACTGCCAACGTTCAGCTTTTCAAGAAGGAAGGAAACTTCCTGAGAACAGCGGGTAAATGACTAGCAGGCTATCCCTTTCTCTACAATCCCAGCTGCTGTGTCCAAAAATGGCTTCAAAAGTACAAGGATGTCTCTCCCCCAGATATTAGCCCAACCACCCCCATCAACTCCACTACACGGCTTCACTCTTTGAGGTCTAAAACATTTTCCTGTGGGCTTCTTAAAAGACAAAGGGTTATGATGGGTATCAACTAAAACTTTGTCAGTTAAATCTAAACAGAGAGTAGGTGGAGGCTATGTATGAGTGGGGAAGGGAAAGGCCCCAGGGAAATCAGAGCCCTGGAAAAAAGTTGACATTTCCCCCATTGTACTAATGACCTAGTGGCCTGGTGGCAAACCCAGGCTCTGCCACTTACTATTTGGGGGCCCTTAAGCCAATTACTCAGGCCTTCTGAGCCTTAATTTCCTCAGCTATAAAATAAGGCGAATTACACTACCTCAAGTGACTAGATGAGATCTTGCTGGTCAGCTCCCAAAACGAATGTTTAATGTGTTAATTCCCAGTCCACCGCCTCCCCCAGGAGCAGTGAAAGATTTTCATCTACTGAGTTTGAAAGGAAAGTGTGTTACCTCACAGACAGTCCCAAATTAAAGGAACAGGAAGTGCTTTAATCCGAAAACACACAAACTAGCTTTAATGAGCATTTTTTTACTAAGACCATGAAGGGGCATGATGCTCTCTGAGCCTGTTAGAGATTGCATAACCCTGAAACTGTCAGTCATCAGAGAGTCAAATTCCCCTCTTAGATGTGTTCCTATGTCCTCCTCTCATGGAAAATAGTGGAAATTCAACAAATCGGTTTTTTAAAAAGCGAAGTCACAAAAAAAAAAAAAATTCTTAGCTCACAAGAAATCACAGTGAAATACCTATAAGTAAAATCCATAATTTTGAGGCAACTTCAAGAGTTGGTTGATTTAAAAGAAACAAGAATCTTGGAAGACATCCCCATGCCCATGCCCATTTTGACAACATCAGCCGGGGCCCAGGTAATGCCTGGATCCAACTTGGCTAGACATATCTGCCTTTCTCACCCTCCAGAGTTCAGAATCAGGCCAAGAAAGCCAAAAGGTGGAGTCCAGCTAGGGACCTGGGGTCAGGGGAAAATCAAGAGGTCCCCAGGTCAGTGGCAGCTATAGGCCAAAGGGAAACAGTTTTTTTTCAGGTTTTTTCATGGTTGATCTCAAGACCATTAGAACATCTTCCTCCTCGGGAATATTCTCCATGACTTTGTAGCTTCCGAGAGGATTTATTTTGCTTTCTGAAAGTTTCTGAGAGGGTTTATTTTGCTTTCTGAGAGCTTCCGAGAGAGTTTATTTTGCTGTCTGAGAGCTTCTGAGAGGGTTTATTTTGCTTTAACCTATCTCAGGGCAAAGTACAAAGAGAAGGGTTTGATGCCTTTTCCTCAGGGAGGAAAGAGTCTGTATCTAGACAACTAAATTATGCTGACCACAGTCATCAACCTCCACATTGGAAAGGGCACTGCCAAGTGTTTACACTCTGTGTTGTGCACTGATTTCACATGGAAACTCATCCCAGAATGACACCTCTGTCACCCAGTGCTCCACCCTTGTGTCCTGCCCAGCTGTGTCCTCAGCCTAAGCGGAATGTTAGAAAGATAGTGGGGGTAGGGGGAAGATACATTGCATTCTGAAGTCAAATAAAAAGATTTCAAGGTTATCTGCATGTATCGATGATCTGTGTGACTGATTCCTTCCCCTGACAGGGATTATTGAGGGGGTGAATAAGACCTTTGACAGTTTTCTCTTCTTTAATTGCCTAAACAACCTACTGTTTGACTAGCAGAGGCATAATAATAATAATAATAAAAATTTTTAAAACGTTCACTCAGCTAGATCATGTATTTCTTTAGATGTCAGATTTAAATAAAGTGAATATATATTACCAAGTGCTTAAAATTTACGTAACTGTTGACCAGTCATGCTGGTTCACACCCATGATTGCAGCACTTTGGGAGGCTGAGACGAAGGAATGCTTGAACCCAGGAGGTTGAGACCAACCTAGGCAACATAGTAAGACCCTGTCTCCACAAAAATATTTTTAAAAATTAGCCGGGTGTGGTGGTGCACACTTGTAGTCCCAGCCAATTGGGAGGCTGAGGCGTGAGACCTCCAGGAGGTGTGAGGCCAGTCTGGGCAACAGAGTGAGACCATGACTCAAAAAACAAATAAATAAAAACTACATAATTGTCATCCCCTTTGGAATGACAGCTCCCTCACCTACAACAGCAAATTCACTAATCCCCATGGAGAGATCTCTAATCCATCCTAGCTAGAAATGTGCTTTTATTCAAACAAAACCCCTTTAAAAACACAGATTGTTATGAATGTGGGGGGGGAGTCCTACCAAGTCATTAAATTTCAGGTTTCCCTCATTCATAAAATGGCCATCCATAAATTTTAACTTTATGGAAGTAATGTAAGAATGAATGAGGGCATGCTTTACAATATTTCAATTTACTTAGATTATATTTTTCCATAAAGATACAGTTTCATGCCTACCCTTGGTGGGAAAGTACCTCTCTAAGTCAAACCTCCTGGGAGATTTCTGCCTGACTGTATCACAGACCTACATCACAAGATGGAAGATACATTGTTGCATTAGATTTAAGCTACTTCATCACCCATTCTTTTCTTTTCTTTTTTTTTTCTTTTTTCTTTTTTTTCCTAGATGGAGTCTCGCTCCGTCGCCCAGGCTGGAGAGCAGTGGCACACTCACGGCCACCCCAGCGTCGACCTGCCGGGCTCAGCGATCCTTCCGCCTCAGCCTTCCAAGTAGCCAGCACTACAGGCGCGCGCCGGACCACGCCCCGGCTCATTTGGGGATTTATGGTAAGAGACGAGGTCTCACCAGGTTGCTCAGGCCATCCCCTCCCTTCGGCCTCCCAAAGTGCTGGGATGACAGGCTTGAGCCACCGCCCCGGGCCTTCCTCGCCCATTCTGTTCACCTCCATCCACACCTCAGCCCTTCCTGGGCCTTCCAGACGCACAGACCCAATTCCTGCGATTCCTAAACTATGAAAACCTCCCAGATGTTCTTTCCCCCCAAAGCCCGCGCGCCCCAACCTTTTGCCAGAAAGGGGCTCCCAAGGAAAGAATCTGCCTGTGGGGGAAGGGAAAAAGATACTTCAGTTGCTTTTTCACCCGACAGCACCCAGGGACAGAAGTATACCTTTGGGTCTGCAGCGTCACGTCATGCAGGCGCGTGAAAGCCCCTCAGCGGTGCCCGGCTGTCGCCAGCGCCCGTGGGCCAAGTCCCAGGCGGCAGCAGGAGGACGCGGCGCGTCCCCCCGAGGTCGCCCGAGGTCGCCCGAGGAGCGCAGCCCGGCG